TACATAAACATATATATACCTACATCATGGCGGAAGACAAATCTAAGAAGAACTTGACAAAAGAGATGAACGAAGCATGGATAAAAAGGGTGTTCGGATCAGGATCACCACCAGGATGGTCTTGGTCTTTGTCGATTGCCCTCACCCCAAAGAAAACACTGCCAACACCTGGCACGACATTGACGGCGCTGACGAGAAATCACGGAGGGTGGCCACTGGGACAAGTAGAAGCGAACCATGGTGGATCGAGTGGCCAAAAGGACAAATGACATGAGCTCAGCACTCAAGCCAACGAGGGGACCGACAAGCAGATCAGCACAGGATCTGGCAGACCTTAGGGGCAGGTGGATGACTAGGGAGAGAGATAGATTGTCATCGTAGTAGGAAAAAATCAAGTCTAATAGTTGAGTTTCATAAATGTTACTATGCATTATTTGAAAGTTCAAAACACATCACTAACATCCAGTGTTTTTCCTTCGGAGATAATTATAGTTAAATACAGTATATATAGTTCATAACATGTCACCCCAGCTGAAGTCCCCAACTTGGAATTGTAAAAACCTCAAATCTCAACTTCGGATCTCTCTCTTTCACAGAAGAGGACTTGAATCTTTTCAACACATGCACTCCTTCTGGCAAAATGAAAAGAAAAAAGCACTAACAGATTTTAATCAACTAGTCTAAACAATAACAATTAACAGGAGAAACAAGAAAGGAGTACAAATCGAAAACTTATTACCTCTCATCAGCCTTGCTCCTCTTCCTCTTCACCCTTGCCGCCATACTCGGACGGCCAAATCGGAAAATGCTTTCCTCAACAATGTGAGTATACAAAGGGTAACCTATTTTCACCAGCTTCTCGATTCTCATCAGCTTCTGAGAATGAGTCTGTATATCCCAGTATATAATCAAGCGGCCACAAGGAAGCACAAGCCGCTTTTCGTCCTTGATGAGGCTCAGTCCCATGGGTGTGGACAGTCCCACCCATTCATAATCCTTCAAAACCCAGGCTTCGCGCATATCTTCGTTTCTAACCACAACCAAACTCCCTCCCAACACCTCGAAACCCAAGATATACGACATACCAGAATATGGCAAGGGCAGCTTGCGGAACCTCTCGGTGGCAAAATCCAGCGCAACTACTGAGTTCTCTGCAAACCAGTACAATGCCCCGTTTAACAATGTGGCTTGACTCGACAACAATAGGAGGGACGGGTAGTCCTCGATCCTCTTCCATGAGTTGGATCTGAGGCTGTAGATGTGAGTCTGGTACACTGACCTCACAACCTTGCAGACGCTAATGACTTTGTAGTCGTCTGAGGACCGATCATACCCTATCCCGCATCCCAAAAATTGGCTGCCTTCGAGGCCAGTCGGGGGCAGCTCGAGATAATCTCCGGTGAGTGGGTTCCATACCACCCAGGTGCTGGTGGAGTCGTAGTGGGGGATGAGGACGAGGCCATTGCAGGAGGCCGCGAAGAGACCCGGCCGGAGCAGGGCGCTCTGGACCCGGGTGGCACTGAGGGTCCGCTGCCCATCGACGTACCTCAGGGAATCGACGGGACGAGAGTTGATGGCAGAGGGGGTTGTCAGGAGGAGGTTGGAGGTGGAGGTGTGGTGGTTGTTTACCGTGTGGGCCTTGACGAAGGATGGATCGTCGATCTCGTGGCTCCAAGACTTGCAGACTGCGCGGAAGCGGAGGAGGGAGGAGCCAGGGAGGCGGAGGAGGATCTCGCGTTGGAGATCAGAGGGGAGGCCCAACATTTGGAATTTGTGATTCGATTTTGGATTCCTAGATTGTGAAGGAAGGGCTGATTGGTGAGCAGACATGTGATTTATATTCGGATTCGGAATTTACAAACTCATCTTAACTCAACTCTCTCTATGTATATAATATATAGTCGGTATCCCAACTCCAAACCTCGCTAACCTATTTCTATTATATATTGGTTACATTATTTTATATTTACTCATGTTTCTTTTAAAATATATAACCTATTTCTATGCATGACCGGGCAGCCTCCCTAAATCGGCACGACCTCGAGGACATGTTAGGTCGGCGATACGTGTTAACTTAACCATGGTGGCTATGCAGCTCGGAGCACGACAACTGGCCTAAGGACCTTCGGGATTGACGGTGGCCTCCAAATACTGAGAGAGCCAAAGAGGCCTGGCTAGGGGTAAACCGAATTCCTCAAATATAGAACATATTCATTATCCAAAAACTAAATATACATGGAGATATAGTTAACTAAGAAGGATGATACGGAAAGAAGTTTAATCATACAAAGGGTCCTTAGGGATAGTATGCAACTATGACTATAAAAGGGGGACACAAATTATTTTTTTTGATAACACATATACACGCACAAAAAGATTACTACTGTTGGATGTGAACTTACTTGAGCGTCGGAGTGTTTTCTGTCGGGGTTCCTCCTGGCACTTTGCAGGTCCTCAAAGGCATCAAGATAATTCATGTCGGCAAGTTATTGTTCAACTAGACCGGGGGAGGAATTGCACAAAAAATTTGCACCCATCGTGGGACAACCAGTATTTTACCGTCGATAAGAGGCTAAAACTTTTCTCACAGAAACATATATATACCTACATTATGGCGGAAGACAAATCTAAGAAGAACTTGACAAAAATATGAACGAAGCATGGTCAAAAAACGTGTTCGAATCAGGACCACTACCAAGATGGTCTTAGTCGATTGCCCCCACCCAAAAGAAAACACTGACAACACCTGGCACGACATTGACGCCGCTGATGAGAAACCGCAGAGGGTCGCCACTGGGACAAGTAGAAGCGAACCATGGAGGATCGAGTAGCCGAAAGGAAAAAGGACTTGAGCTCGACACTCAAGCCAACGAGGGGACCGACAAGCAGGTCAGCACGGGATATGACAGACCTTAGGGGCAGGTGGATGACTTGGGAGAGAGGAAGATTTTCATCGCAGAAAGGAAAAATACGACGAGGGGTTATCAGTCTCCTCCGGCGTCCAGAGGGGACCAAGTCCTTCATTTGACCAGAGGAGAGTTCGACAAGATTATCGTAGAAGCAATAGGTCTGGCACATAAGGTGGATAGGAGGGCTCCTCTTGAATAAAAAAGGAAGCAGCCACTCCAACAACAATTCATGCTCCAGCAACAAACCCAGCGCCAGAAACGTCCAGAGGAGGACGAGACGAGGATTGTTACTTCTTGGACTACCATACCACACCAACCAAAGGACTTAACCCTGGAAAGATTAGTTGCGCAAATGTGCAAACTACAGGCCCGAGTACAGGACAAAATGATGCTTCAGACCTACGGACATTCATTTTCAGAAGAAGTCATAGAAGGGGACTTGCACAAAAACTTTAGGAAACTGAGCCTATCATACGATGGCTCAACGAACCCGGCGAGACTTTTGAGATCATTTGATAATATAATTGTGCTGCATAGATATAGCGGCACAGTTAGTTGTTGAGCCTTCCTAACCACCTTGAAAGAGTCGGCGCAAGATGTGAGGCCACGACGACGGTGGCTCTGGCTGGATAGACGACGGGAATATGGGGCTGACGGCGGTGGGAGTCTGGTTGCCGTCTTCATCCAACAGTATGTGTGTGTGTGTGTGTGTGTGTTTGTATTCAGTGCGTGTGCGTGATTTCAGAATTTTCTGTTTGTTTTTTTTTTTGTGCTTTGTGGTGAGAATTAGACAAATTGTAAGGGGTATTTGCGCAATTTCAAAACCTTTATTAGATTATACTTTAATAGTGTGATGTTTTTTATATTTTTTGAAAATTCAATATATTGCACATTAACAATACACGATATGCACAATATCGTGAATCTACGAGCACATTATAAAAGCCGCAACTTTTTTTACAAAACTACATAGTTATTAAACGGTCG